GCTCACACCACTCAGAGGATGCTGAAATGGAACGCTGCAGAGGAGAGGCTTCAGTGTAAAAATAATAATTATTAATGATTGGTTAAGTGGTGTAATTAGTGTAATGCAATTAGTGTAATTAAGTGGAGTAATTAGTGAGGTTTATAAGGCTGGCAAACAAGGAGACTTGTTTCTGTGTTTCTTGACAAGGTGAGTTTAAGCAGGTCATAGATTAATCAATCTCATTTGAAATGATATCAGTGTGCTGTTCCAATTCTTCTGTATGAAACTAAGAGTTAGGTTGTTGAAAGTATTTTAGACATCTTAATTGTGTGTGTTTTGAATGAATGTTGACAAAATGGCTGCTCTCATGAAGGGCTGCCACATGCTTTCTACAAACATTTAATATTAATAGCCCTGTTCATGCTAAAAAGTATGCAATGGTGATAGTGCTTTAAATAAGTTTGGTTAAAAAGTTTAGCACAATTTTAATGTAAATTTTTTACATTACTTTGTTAAAGTATGTTGAATTTTGAAATTGAATAGGCACGTGATGTTGATTTTGGACAAACTATTTATTTAATGTTTGTGCAGGTGCACTGCACATGTCTGCTACAATTAATACTTGGTTAATAAGACAATCTGAATGTTTGTTTAATAATATAACTTAATGTCTGTTTTATAATAATGATAATAATAAACTAGACAAAGTTCGTCGAGACAAATTTTAAGTTGGCTTGTGAAAGTTTGGAACAGAAAGTTTTAAGTTAAAGTTAGTTTATAGTTTAAATTAGTTTAAAGTTTAAAGTAGTTTATAGTGTAAATTAGTTTATAGTTTAAAATAGTCTAAATTTTAAATTAGTTTGAATTTTAAAGTAGTTTAAAGTTAAATTAGTTTAAATTAGTCTAAAGTTTAAATTAGTTTGAAATTTAACAGTTTAAAGTGTAAAAGTATAGTTTCAAGTTATTTAAAGTTGCTACAGTGTTTCTAGTGGGTTGCTAAGGTGTTCTGGATGGTTGCTAGGGTGTTGCTAGGGTGTTGCTAGGGTGTTGCTAGGGTGTTGCTAGGGTGTTGTTAGGTGGTTGCTAGGAGGTTTTGGGTGGTTTCTAGGGTATTGCTAGGCGGTTGCTAGGGTGTTAAGCGGTTGGTAGGGTATTCTGTGTGGTTGCTATGGTGTTGCTAGGGGGTTGATAGGGTGTTCTGGGTGGTTGCTATGGTGTTACTAGGCAGTTGCATGTCATGGGCCGTCCTACACCATAGTAAGTCAACTTTGGGCTGCTCCTGCCCCCCAGGGGTACAACTTTTACTCCACTGTGAGGTATTTTCTTACAGAGCCTGTCAGCCTTTTCAAATGTGGTATATTACAAGTTTCTGAGAAATCATCGCTATTTAGTATGGCCTACGGCCTACAGTTGCTAGGGTGCTGTAACTGGTTGCTATGGTGTGTGAATTTAGAGTTTATGAGTTTAAATGAGTAAGTGTCCAGAGTTTATTAATTTATGAGTTTAATAGTTTTATGAGAGTTTATAAGAGTATGAGTTTATGAATTTAGAGTTTATGAGCTAGAGTTTATAAGTTTAAATGAGTCTAAGAGTTCGGGTTTAGAGTTTATTAATTTATTATGAGTTTAAGAGTTTACGATTAGATAGATAAGTGTCATATATAGACAGGGGCGTAGAATTTAGTAGGGACGCTAGGGACGTGTCCCTACCAATATCCAGTGACACTGATATATCCCTAGCAATAATTTCGATCAAAACTTAAAATATATTTATAAATTGATTAGGGCAGGGCAAAAAAATAGATTTTTCGATTAATCGTTTTTTAAAATGTGGTCGATTCAAAATCGATTCTTTCTATTTTGTTTCCATATTAAGGACTCGCGGTGGTGCTGCGTCTTCTCTCTCTGCACTAGGCAAGCGCTGAATATTCACTTGCACAATCGGGCCAGCATTGCACCGTAACTAAAGTTTATCATTGATTTTACCAGTTTAAACATTCAAGCAATGTTAAACCATGCTGTGCTCGCGCACTCTCAGAGATGTCTTTCACTGCGTGCACGTTAATAAAGCCTAAATCCGCCTCACAAACAGCTCGCCAGAAACAAAAGTTTTATCACTGGATTATATCGCTTTACTGTAACAGTTAAAAACACGCAAAATTATGTCAATACTGTCTTGGTTAGTAACCTCGTAAAGACAGTCGGTTATGTCTTAAATTAGCATCAAAATCCTGTCCATTCATTGTATGCATTTAGTGTATAAGCTAGTGTACCTAAAATAAAGAGTTTTACTGTGTATACAGGTTTATGGCTCTTAATTTATTTGTATTAATTAACCACTAGTAAACTTATGTCCACTGTTCTTTTTTTTTTTTTTATAAATATAGGATTTGTATTACATCTATATTCATTATAGTCAAAGAATATAATCAAGAATCAAATCAGGAATCAAGAATCGAAATTGAAAATCGAATCGAGAATCAAAATTGAATCAATCTGAGAGCTTTCGAATCGAAATTGAACGTGAATCGATACCCAGCCCTAAAATTGATGTCCCCGTCCCCACCAATTTCAAAATCAAACCTACGCCTCTGTATATAGATGAGTGTATTAGTTTAAATGAGTCTCAATAGCTCATATAGTGTATAGAATGGCAGTTTGATTGAGTCTAGGGCTTCAAAGTATTTAGATTTGAATTTTTGACAGTTGGGCAGTTTGAAAATCTGAAGATTCCACAATGTTAAGTCAATGGGTTTTAGGAAAACCGTAAGTCCGATCAGTCTGAAAAACTCGAGTCAGAACAGTTTGAGTGTCCGTGCCGAGTTTGGAGTATGTGAAGTTAAAGCTCTAGGAGGAGGAGTAGTAGTAAGAAATTTAAGTCTCAGAAAAAGAATACTAATAATATTAAGTTTAAATAGCATTTCAGTAAGTTGACTTTCACAAGCCAAATTAAATATATATTTATATGTATATTCACATACGTGCATATCAAATATTTTAATTATCTTAATTAAATTCTTATTGATTTCAGAATTGTTATATTTCTATGTGAAAATGGCTAGAAAATCATTATAGTGTAATGCAGTGAAATATTTTTGGGTGTTTTGTAAAACTGGCAACTTGAGTTACGCAAGTATACATAAAAATCTTTTTGTTTATATTTACAGATGCCACGACCTAAGAAAAGGGCCCGCATAGCCAAGAGGCTTGCACAACGGTGTGCAAATACAGAGGTTCCGCCGCTTCCTCTTGAAAAAAAGGCAGAGGCTGCACCGCTTCCTCTTAAAACAAGTGAAGCAGAGGTTCGGCCGCTTCCTCTTAAAAAAATGGCAGAGGCTGCACCACTTCCTCTTAAAAAAGGGCAAACAGAGGCTGCACCGCTTCCTCTTAAAACAAGTCAGGCAGAGGCTGCACAGCTCCCTCTTAAAACAAGTCGAGCCGAGGTTTTGCGGCTTCCTCGTAAAAAAATGGCTGAAAACAAAAATTCTGACAAAAATTCTGACAAATTCTGACAAAAATTCTGACAAAAATTCTGCTTCAAACTCTGTCAAAAACCCAGTCAAAAACCTGTCAAAAACCCAGTTACCTCCACAGAACTCTGAACAAAACTTTAAAATGTACAGAACTTTACATGAAAATGCTTTGAATACTTTACCTGCATGTGTTGAATTTCTACAGAAACCATTACTGAAAGGTTCCTTTCATCAAGGTGATGCCCGCTTTGGAAATTCACGTGGCAGACAGTGTGGTGCCATCAGTCTGATAGCAGTGTTGTTGAGCAAGATGAAGAACGTGTTGACCTGGACAACACAAGATCTCAATGGTGTATTGGTTGCAGGAACACGCCTTTATGAATCTTTACGAAACCAGGGTAACATAAATGACCGGGAAGTCATGGGTAGGCATTACATTGCTGTCCATGAATTACCAAGGAGACATGTGCTGGGTAATACTGTCTTTTCCATAGAATATGCAGAGTCTCTCACTGGATTTGTTAATGTTGATGACTATGATGAATCCTTAAGGAATGTGGCCATGCCAGTTGATGTAGCTCTTCAGCGAGCTCTATTGAGTGCTGATGCTTTCCTTTTATGTATTTGTGCCAACACATGTGCAGTTATTAAGGAGGGCTCATGGTATGCCTTTGTTGATTCTCATGCTAACATGACAGAGACAAGTTGTGTTGCTTATCACAGCACCATAGAATCTTTGTATAACTACATTAATGAGATGGCACAGTCATTTGGGGTAATTGCGCCACGATTTGAGATAACTGGAGTTTTTGCTCATGCAGATGCTGAAGTTTCTCACTCGCTGGAGGCAGACCGCAGCAGTTTTCCATGCTCTTCTGGTAAAGCACTTTACAGTGAAGTTCTAAAACGCAAACCTAAGGTATGCAAATCTGTGACGACTGAGGTAAGGTCATCTGTCTTTCAATCACCTGAGGCTGAAGTTCAAAATACAAGCACTGATGTTCCCATGCCACAACCAGTGTGTAATGTGTTGCCGAGTAAAGGAAAAAGGGGGAGAAGTAAAAATCAGTATGAACTATCAGAGAAATGGGTTACGAAGTCCCACTCGCTGGAGGCAGACCGCAGCAGTTTTCCATGCTCTTCTGGTAAAGCACTTTACAGTGAAGTCTTAAAACGCAAACCTAAGGTATGCAAATCTGTGACGACTGAGGTAAGGTCACCTGACTTTCAATTACCTGAGGTTGAAGTTCAAAATACAAGCAATAATGTTCCCATGCCACAGCCGGTGTGTAATGTATTGCCGAGTAAAGGAAAAAGGGGGAGAAGAAAAAAGCAGGATGAGCAGGTCTCTGAGAAACGGGTTGAAAAATCTCATGTTGAAAATGTTGTAGATGACATAATTATTACTGATGTTTCAATTCCAGAAATATTTTTTTCTCTCTTGACTGTTAGAGATCAGCAAGCTTTATGTGAACTTTTGCTTCTGACAAATGATAACAGTGACTGTGATGTTGCAACAAACTTTGGTCCCATTGCAGGTCCGTGTCAGACAAAGAGTATCAAACCAGATGGTAACTGCTTTTTCAGATCACTGGCATATGCGATTTGTGGAAGTGAGGACAAACATTTGAAGATTCGCCGTGCAGTTGTCAAACACCTGAAAATGAACGCTTCAATATTTGAGAGGTATGTGAGAAGTGAGTATACTTCAGTAGAGGACTACTTGATACAATCTAGAGTCTATTATTCTGGGTCATGGGTCACTGAAATTGACATCTTTGCTTCTGCTGATCTATTTAAAACAACAATAATGACTTTTAATGATGGCCGGTGGAATGCACACAAACCTACTGGAGAGGTAATTGTAAACAATGCAATATATTTGAAAAACTGTAATGGTAATCATTATGAAGTTGTGACATGTGTCAAGCACAGAGATCAAGACATTTGCGCAGCAAAGTGTGGGAATGCTACTTCAAATGAGGTGAGAATGCTATGTCTGCGTAAAAGGAAGGTAAGTGACGCTGCAGAATGTGACCAAGAGACCAAGAGACAGAAACAATGGAAGTATGAGAAGTCCAAGTATGATAGTGACATTGATTTCAGACAGAATAAAATTGCCCATGCCAAAACAAAATACCGTGATGTTCAGTTTCAGAAACATGTTTGCCAGTATTCTCAGATGAAATATAAAAATAATGTCTCATTTCAGGCAACTGTACGTGAGTATTCCAAGAAGAAATATCTTCAAAACCTGGCCTTTAACACAAGAGTGCGTGAGTATTCCAAGAAGAAATATCTTCAAAACCTGGACTTTAAAGTAAGAGTGCGTGAGTATTCTAAGACAAAATATCACAAAGATGTAAACTTTCATTTCAGTAAAATACAAAAAGGCTGTGAGGTATATGCAAAAAAAAGGGAAAAACAGAAAGACATTGGTGTTGCCATTGCTGGTTTTCGTCAAGAAGTGAGTAGAGGTCCAGAGTTTGTGTGCTGTGTTTGTCACCGTTTACTTTTCAGAAAGCAGGTTACTGAATGCAAACCAGAATGCTATGAAGACAAAGGAGACAAAATTGCTGCTTTGGCAAGAAGATGCATCACCCTGAGGTATGTGCATGTTTGTGATGAAAAATGTCATAATACTTCTGGTTTTTCTCCAAGGTGCAAATTGTGGATTTGTCCAACCTGTCATCGAAAAATTATCAGTGGAAAACTGCCTGAAGAGAGTGTTGCTAACAATATGCATTTGGTGGACATTCCAAATCAACTAAAGTGTCTTAACTCTTTGGAACAACATCTTGTGGCACGTAATATTCCTTTTTTGAAGTTACTCTGTCTTCCCCGTGGAAAACAAAATGGCTGCCATGGACCGGTGGTGTGTGTTCCTGTAAATACTGCAGATGTGTCAAATATTCTTCCACGAAATGAATGTGATGACAAGATGATAAGGATAAAACTGAAGCGCAAGTTAACCTACAAAGGGCATTATGAGTACAAGCATGTTTACACTGATCGTGTTAGAAATGCTCTGCGACGTTTGATCAGGTGCAATAAATGGTACAAGGATGTGGAGATTAATGAACAATGGATCAACTCTTTGAATGAACCAGAAGAGAATGTTGCTGAAGAAATGGAGGAACAAGCTGACGTTGAAAAGAGTGAAGAGGAAAATGATACTGAAGAACAGCCAGAGGAAGACTTGACTTACATCAAAGAGCAGAGTGGTCTTTTGTCAGACACATGTTTACAACCTGTCGATCTTGGTTCAGAAGTAATTGATCAGCACTTTCAAGATGTATTAAATGTGGCACCAGCTGAAGGTAACAGTCCTGTTAAATTATTGTCTGATAAAAGCAATGAAGCAAAATGTTTTCCTGTTCTCTTTCCAACTGGTGGTCCAACATTCCATGATGAGAGAGAAAGAAAGATCACACTGTCACGATACTTGAATGCAAGAATCCTCAACGCAGATGGACGTTTTGCACGGAGTACAGACTTTATTTTCTATGCACAATACATGTCGGAGTTGGATCAAATTGTATCTAATGTTTCTATTGCTTTGCGAAAAGGGTCGGACAAGAGGTTGTTGCAAGGAGTAACCTCGGATATGCTGACAAACCCAGAGTCGTTAGCTAAAATATTGAATTATGATGAAGGATACAAATTTTTGAGACCAGTCCGTGGAACGCCACCCTATTGGCAATCGACTCAAAAAGACCTTTTTGCTCTCATAAGACAACTAGGTATTCCAACTTTCTTTGCATCCTTTAGCTCTGCTGATCTCAGATGGCCTGAAATGATCAACACCATCCTGGAGCAAGAACAGAAAAATGTCAGTGTTGATGAGCTTGACTGGTCTGAGAAATGTGGACTAATTCGACGAAACCCAGTCACTGCTGCAAGGATGTTTGATTATAGATGGCATTGTTTTTTGAAGGATGTCATTATGTCACCTGCTCAACCTATTGGAAAGATCAAAGACTACTTCTATCGTGTAGAGTTTCAACAGCGTGGATCTCCTCATGTTCATTGTCTGTTTTGGGTTGAAAATGCTCCAAAGTTAAATGAAGACAACGAAGACAGTGATGCTTTGGTTGCTGCTTTCATAGATCATTATATCACTTGTGAGACACCAGGAGATGATGACGCAGAACTTTATGAGACTGTGAACAGTGTTCAAAAGCACAGCAGAAGACATTCCAAGACATGCCGGAAGAAAAACACAGTGTGTAGATTTAATTTTCCACGGCCTCCATCTAGCCGCACCTTTATAACAAGAGCTATACGAGATGACTTGAAAGGCAATGATGGAAATGAGACTGCAAGTGCAATTCTGAAGAAAATCAAAACTGCGTTAACAGAATCTGAAGTCAATTTTGATTCAACAGATGCCTTTTTCCAATCCATTGGAATTAATCAAGCTGTGTTTGAGAAGGCGTACAAGAAATGTTCTAAAAAGAAAAGTGTCGTCTTGAAACGAAGTCCAAAAGATGTTTGGGTAAATCAATATAACCCTCATTTATTGCGTGCATGGCAAGGCAACATGGATATCCAGTATGTAACAGATGCTTACTCTGTAGTGGTTTATATTATTAGTTACATCACAAAAGCAGAACAAGAAATGGGACTGTTGTTGCAACGTGCACAAAATGAAGCTATGAATGGAAATCTTGAAGCAAGATCATCATTAAAAATGTTGGGAAGTGTATATCTACACAACAGAGAAGTTTCAGCACAAGAGGCAGTGTATCGCCTAACAGGTATGCACTTGAAAGAATGCTCTCGCAAAGTCCAGTTTATTCCAATTGGAACTGATCCTGTGAAGATGAGTTTGCCTTTGCGTGTTCTCCAAAACAAAGATGACCATTGTGGTGAAGAGAATTTTTGGATGAATAGTTTGGTTGACCGATACAAGAGTAGACCAAAAACAGAACATTTTGAGATTCTGTGTCTGGGCAGTTTTTGTTCAGAATACAGGATATTGTCAACATCTGAGCTATCTTCACAAAACAAAGAAAATGTGATCAAGCTTGACAACAATTGTGGTTATATGATAAGAAGAACTCGAACTGAACCTGCAGTAATAAGGTATCCAAGATTTTCACCAACAAAAGATCCTGAGAAGTACTATCATTCACTGCTACAACTTTTTTTACCACATTATGAAGATTACCAGCTGAAGCCTGAGAAGTTCCACACTTATGAGGATTTCTACAACAATGGTGCTGTGAAATGCGGAAGTAATGTGACTGAAGTAAAATCTATTGTTGATTCTAATCGAGCACTGTTTGAAAAGGACAGCGATGAAATGGACCGAGCTCAACAGGTTTTGGAGCTGGGTGTTGATTTGGAAGATGCTTGGGCTGCATTGTGTCCTGAAACAGAGAAGGAGCGCCATGAATGTATCGAGCTAAAGAAGAATAACGTACTTCCTGAAGAAGATGATTCTGACACACTTATTCCAGATCTTGTAGCGAACCCTCGAATTGCATTCACAATTGAGAACAGTAATGCTGCAATGTCTCGAGATGAAGCATTGGGTTTACTAAGATCATTAAATGCTAAACAGTCTGCAATATTTTACAAAGTTCGCGACTGGTGTTTACAAAAACTGCATGGAGAAAATCCTGAACCGTTTCGCTTGTTTGTTACTGGTGGAGCAGGCACAGGAAAAAGCCATTTAATCAAAGCAATATGCTATGAATCTTCTAGACTCTTGTCTCAGCTGTCTGACAACCCTGATGAGCGGAGTGTGATTTTATGTGCATCAACTGGAGTAGCTGCATACAACATTGGCGCTGCTACCATACACCACACTTTTTCAATTGGTGCTAATGTCAAACTGCCATATCAACCACTAAGTGATGACAAAATCAATTCTCTGCGTTCCAAACTTGGATGTTTGCAGATTTTGATTATTGATGAAGTATCCATGGTTGACCATCACCTTTTGTCATATGTTCATGGGAGATTGAGACAAATCAAACAAACTGGTGATTACTCCCTCTTTGGAAAAGTAAGTCTTGTAGCTGTAGGAGATTTTTATCAGCTGCCGCCTGTCAAAGGAACTCCACTCTATGCTGATACAAAAGGAGTGAACCTTTGGGAAAACCACTTTGAAATTGCTGAATTAACTGAAGTTGTTCGGCAACAAGATGTAACTTTTGCTGAAACCTTAAATCGTCTGAGAGTTCGTAAAAAGAATGAACCTCTAAGCTCAGGTGACATCAACATGTTGAAGCAACGTGAAACAGGAGAAGAATGCGGTGATGTTCATATATTTCCTACAAATAAAGAGGTTGATGAATACAATATTCAGAGACTAAATGAGGTTTGTCCTGAGGCAATCAGTATTCGAGCTCAAGACTTTGAGAGAAATCCAAAAACTGGAAGGATAGAAAAAAAAGTTGGATTTCATTTAACCGTTTTCAACTCCTGTTTGGCTAAATGTGTTTCCTTGGGTGTTGGAGCAAGAGTTATGTTAAAGAAAAATATTAATGTTTCGGATGGACTTGTGAATGGAGCCTTTGGTACAGTTGTCCATATTAGCAGAAGTCAAAAACAGGACGACGATGATTATGATGATGACTTTCCATCAGCCATTCATGTGGAATTTGATGATCCAAATGTGGGAAAAATTCAGAGATCAAACCAACGACATAGATTTTCCCAAAATTCTACAGTAATTGAAGTTCAAGAAGATCAAGTCACAACCAACGGTGGATTAAGGCGCCAATTTCCACTTAGACTGGCATGGGCATGCACTGTTCACAAAGTCCAAGGGCTCACAGTAGATAAAGCTGTCGTATCCCTTGACAAGATCTTTACTTCAGGACAAGCATATGTTGCATTGAGTCGTGTGAGAACTCTCAATGGACTAATTATTCAAAACTTCAAGGAGTCTGTAATATACTGTAATGATCAAATTGACTTGGCAATGAAAAATATACCAAAATTTCCATTAGAAAGTCACACTTTCTCAAAGACACCTGGTATATTTACAATTGCTCTTCAGAATGTGCAAAGTCTTCAAGCTCATGTTCAAGATATTCAAGCTCACAGACAACTTATGAATGCAGATTGTATTTGTTTAACTGAAACATGGCTAAAAGTTGAAGACCAAGTACAAATACCAGGATTTATTTTCAAGCATAATCCAAGAGCTAAGTGCTATGACAACAGCACTCCCCTTTTCAGTAATTTAAAACAACAGCGAGGAGGTGGGGTTGCTATCTACTGTTGTGAAAACATGTTTTTTAAAGTCATCATTCCAGAACCTTGCAATTTGGAATGTTTGTACTTCTCAGTTCCACATATCAGTTTGAATGCTGCTCTGCTGTACAGGCCTAATTCATATCAAATTGATGTGTTTCGACAAAATCTGTTACATGTCATTACTGAGCTGGAAAAACATCCAGGAAAGAAAGTAATTATGGGAGACTTCAATGAGGACATCTTAACATCATCTTCAATTGGGACACTAATGGAAGTCCATGGATACAGTCAACATGTGCAATGTCCTACAACTGAAAAGGGTACGTTAATAGACCATGTCTATATTAAAGATGCAGAAAATGTTACAATTGAAATTGTTTCAACTTACTATAGTTACCATGAAGCAATACTAGTTTCAGTAAGGTAATTGACATTTCTGACACATAATGAAGACTGTATAACTGCATTTTTCTTTTCTGTGCCCCTACCCTGCTACAATTAATCTGAGATTGAGGTCCATGAAGGTCTGTTCAAGTTCACAAATGAAAACGGTATGTTATTAGACCATTTATTTCAAATCATTTCAATAAGAAAATGATTCATTTGTTGTAATTTCTGCAAGTCCACTAGTATGCTATCAAGAAAGGTTTACTCATGTAAGGTAATATGTCTGATTTATGCAGCACGCTGAACTAAGAAATGTATATAATTACACTGTCTATTCTGTTTTTGTTCGTACAATGTGACGCACATCTTGAGATTCCAAGGTCTATACAGTTCTGACCATTCCATACCAAGTTCTATCCATTGTTCATCGGGCACAAACCAGCACCTCCCATAATTGCTCTTCTTTCTGGAGCTCCAAAGCTACATCCAGTCAAGGTTTTTGTAGTTTTTATGCATTAAATTTGTGTTTGATTTTTCTTCATTTTAGACAATGGTTTTGTTTTTTAGCTGAATTTGTTTTTGATCTAATTTCTGCCAGTCTAAGCCATCCAAACAACACTGGATGCTTCCAATCAGCATAGGAAGCATCCACAAAGACTGCCTGCATTCCTACAGTTGTCTTATAAAATGCAATTAAGTTAATAGGATTACAAGAAAACATCTAAAAATGATCTAGAAAACTTCACATAGAAAGGTAAGTTGACATGATTGTGTACATTTTAATAGTTTAAAAAGAAAATATTTAAGGCACTATCAACTAACAATATAATTTCAGATTTATAAACTGTATGTTATCTTACCTTTTTGTCAGTAAATTTTTTTTTTTAGATTTCTGAAACACTGAAGTCATAATTCCTCCATATACCCATCACAAGATTTTCTGCTCCATGAACTCCTCTATAGAAGCACACAAAATAAAAATAATATCTTTTTTGATCAGCTATGTCTGCAAAGCTTGAATGAAAGCATGTCAATTTCAGTTAACAGATTATCTACATTAATGGCAATATGTTTTTGTGTAAACTGCTTCACTTTCATCAAGCAGTTTGTTATATGTATGTAATCTCTGCAGATTTCTGAATGAACTGAAGTTATAATTTCCTCCATATGTCATCACAAGATTATCTGCACCATGAACTTTTATAAAGAATCGCACAACTATTAAGATGGTAAGTTTTATTGAAGTAAATTTAAGTTGTGGACATTTATACAAGCACTGATAATCTACTAATAGTACACTTTCAGATTTGTGCAGCAACTCTAACTACTGTTGATATTTTGAAGTCCACATATCCCTATACAAATGTCCACAAAAGGTAAGCTATCAGACCATATCTATATTAGTTGTGAAATGTTTAATGTGAAGACTTCACTTATAGCACTTGTTGAATGAATGTAATATTTTCAGATTTCTGAAATTCACCAAAGTCCTAACTTCCTCCATACATCCATCACAAGATTATCTGCACCATGAACTTTTATAAAGAATCACACAACTATTAAGACCGTAAGTTTTATTGAAGTAAATTAAGTTGTAGACATTTATACAAGCACTGATTAATCTACTAATGGTACACTTTCAGATTTGTGCAGCAACGCTAACTACTGTTGATATTTTGAAGTCCACATATCCCTATACAAATGCCCATAAAAGGTAAGCTAACAGGCCATGTCCATGTTAGTTATGAAATGTTTAATGTTAAGATTTCACTTATAGCACTTTGTTGAATGGATGTAATATTTTCAGATTTCTGAAATTCACAGAAGTCATAATTTCCTCCATATACCCATCACAAGATTCTCTGCTCCATGAACTTTTATAAAGAAGCGCACAACTGATAAAACAGTAAGTTTTATTGAAGTAAATTTAAGTTGTGGACATTTATACAAACACTGATTAATCTAATGGTACATTTTCAGATTTGTGCAGCAACTCTAACTACTGTTGATATTTTGAAGTCCACATATCCCTATACAAATGTCCACAAAAGGTAAGCTAACAGACCATGTCTGTGTTAGTTGTGAAATGTTTAATATGAAGACTTAACTTATAGCACTTTGTTGAATGAATGTAATATTTTTTAGATTTCTGAAATTCACCAAAGTCCTAACTTCCTCCATATATCCATCACAAGATTATCTACACCATGAACTTTTATAAAGAATCGCACAACTATTAAGACAGTAAGTTTTATTGAAGTAAATTTAAGTTGTGGACATTTATCCAATCACTGATTAATCTACTAATGGTACACTTTCAGATTTGTGCAGAAACTCTAACTACTGTTGATATTTTGAAGTCCACATATCCCTATACAAATGTCCACAAAAAGTAAGCTAACAGAACATGTCCATGTTCGTTATGAAATGTTTAATGTTAAGATTTCACTTATAGCACTTGGGTGAATTTTAGTAATCTGAAAATATTACATTCATTCAACAAAGTCATAATTTCCTCCATATACCCATCACAAGATCCTCTGCTCCATGAACTTTTATAAAGAAGCGCACAACTGATAAAACGGTAAGTTTTATTATTAAAGTAAATTTAAGTTGTGGACATTTATAAATGCACTGATTAATCTAATGGTACACTTTCAGATTTGTGCAGAAACTCGATAACTACTATTGATATTTTGAAGTCCATATATCCCTAAACAAATGTCCACAAAAGGTAAGCTAACAGACCATGTCCATGTTAGTTATGACCATGTCCAAGTTAGTTATGAAATGTTTAATGTTAAGATTTCACTTATAGCACTTTGTTGAATGAATGTAATATTTTCAGATTTCTGAAATTCACCAAAGTCCTAACTTCCTCCATACATCCATCACAAGATTATCTGCACCATGAACTTTTATAAAGAATCACACAACTATTAAGACCATAAGTTTTATTGAAGTAAATTAAGTTGTAGACATTTATACAAGCACTGATTAATCTACTAATGGTACACTTTCAGATTTGTGCAGCAACGCTAACTACTGTTGATATTTTGAAGTCCACATATCCCTATACAAATTTCCACAAAAGGTAAGCTAACAGACCATGTCCATGTTAGTTATGAAATGTTTAATGTTAAGATTTCACTTATAGCACTTTGTTGAATGAATGTAATATTTTCAGATTTCTGAAATTCACCGAAGTCATAATTTCCTCCATATACCCATCACAAGATTCTGTGCTCCTGAACTTTTATAAAGAAGCGCACAACTGATAAAACAGTACGTTTTATTAAAGTAAATTTAAGTTGTGGACATTTATAAATGCACTGATTAATCTAATGGTACACTTTCAGGTTTGTGCAGCAACTCAATAACTACTGTTGATATTTTGAAGTCCACATATCCCTAAACAAATGTCCACAAACAGAAAGGTAACAGACCATGGCTATGTTAGTTGTGAAATGTTTAATGTGAAGACTTTACTTATAGCACTTTGTTCAATGAATGTAATATTTTCAGATATCTGAAATGCACTGAAGTCAAAACTTCTTCACATATACCAATGAAAAGATTGTATGCGGCATTAACTTCTCTAAAGTGTACAACTGATTAAAAAAGGTAATGTATAATGCATATATTCAAACTAGTTACTGAAAACATATCATTTTTGTGATTTGGTTTATTTCTTTTCCCCTTCTAGAAATAGTGACAACAACATTCTTCTGAACTATCAATTCAAAAAATGTTCTGAAAAAACTTTAAACCTATGCAGGCAGTCAATAGTCAATTGTTATTTTACAAATGAATACATAATCTCCACAGTAACAATGTTGAATGGATGGCTTGTATTACATTTGGCCTATGTATAGTTACTTTAATATGTGCCAGCCAAAAGAGGATGGCCTGCCCCTGCTGAGTCTGGTTCCTCTCAAGGTTTCTTCCTTTGCCACTACGCTGATTATGCTCCAGCCCTTGGTCCATGATGTTCCACACTGCTATCTATGGGAGTTTTTCCTTGCCACTGTCGCCTTTTTGGCTTGCTCACTGGGGTATTAAGGCACAACATGTTAAATAAAGTAATAAAGATTTTTTTTTAAATAAATTGAGTGAAATATACTTTGTCTCTGTAGCCATATACTTCATTTTAATGTCTTTGATTTTCTACTTGTATTAAATGGATGTAGACACTATATTTAGTATATGAATTGATTCTACAAACTTGGTGTCTTTTACAAAAAGTGCATCATAAAACAGCTTAGTGGATCGAGCATTTACATAATTTTCATTTAATTTGTAGTAAGCTATAATTTTTTAACAGTTGTTTTTATTTTGAAATATTAAAATTAGTAAGTGACTGTCTTCAGGACAACAGTTAAAATGTTGTCAAACTTGAATGTTTTAACTTTAAGTATTGTCAGTGAGCAAAGTTAAACTATTATATATGCATTTGTTTGGTTTAAAGCTTTATGTAGTTAACTTGAAATTTATAAAAGCCAGCCTAATTAAAAAAAATTAAGTTTACTTAGACCATGACAAACATCCAATCACACCCTTCTACTCTCTAGCTCACTACACACAATACACAAAAGGAAATTGACATGACCATGAACACACAAAGGCAAAAAGTATTAATATGAAGAAAACCGCTTACATTGCAAGAATAGTAGATTGTCAAGGACCGCTATAGCAATCCTTTTTTTCACAAAACTTTCTGGATACTCGAGAATGAAAGAATGAACAATGTGTCTAAAACCAAAAGAAAGATTAAAACAATGCTTACCTGGATAATAAAGGAACAATTTTATAAAGTTGGACAGGACTCTAACTCACAATCTCTGGGTGATGTGACTGTTACTCATCTAGTAGGACCATTGGGGAAAATTGTTTTTTTTTTTATATGTTTTTTACCAAGATGCCAAAGTTCCATTAATCAAGTCAAGCATGAATCTTTATATGAATGTGCCACATCATATTCTAATGATTACTTTTCAGAAAGACACTATGTCTGTAACACAATGGTTTTGGCTCATGGCACATGGTTAAGCTTACGCTTAAGCTGCAGAGGATATGCTTCAGTGTAAGAATGAGCACACAATAATCACACAAAAGAATTACTTGGCATCTCAACCAGTTAACCATGC